TTAAGATGATGAACTGTGTCATTTACTAAATGAACAGTCCAGTGCCCTTGATCATCATAGTTTCTTATGTCCTCAAGCTCTCCCTTTATCTTTCCTTCACTTCTGTCTCTCCATGTCAGTTTTTTTCTGCTATGTTGGTATGTAAAGCAGCCTCGTTAATGGCCAACATGATCCCTCCCCTCCCCATACCTCCCATCTCTATTGTGTTTCCTGTCGCAGGAGTCCTCTTACCCCTCTGCCTGGCATAGAACCCTACTGGGAAGGGCAGGAAAGGAGCAGCTACAGGCCTCCGTCCTCCAGTCCTCTGTGAGTGCCTGCACCTTGTTCAGCAGTGTGCACTGCCTTATGTCGCATGCATCCCATGTGCGCTGCTGGCCACGGTTGTTTTGGCAGGCTGTGAACCCATGCGCTATACACACAGGAGACTCAAATCTTAAGACTTTGTCGCCTTTTGGCACCCTGCCCGACTCGCACATTTACGGTTAGGACCTTGAAATTAATGTGTAAGTAAGGTGTGCATTATATAGTTGACACCTAAATAACACTTTACAGTTGTTTTTATGACTAAGTTATTCTCCTCAAATGCTATTGAGCCTTAAATTTGTGTTTGAGCCCATTCAGTTGTGGAAAAAGTAGCATATTTTACATATGATTTACGGTTTATTTTAATAAATATCAAAAATGTAAAAGGTGTGCATTATAGTTGACACCTAGATGAACACTTTACAGTTGTTTTTATGACTAAGTCATTCTCCTCAAATGCTATTGACGTTAGAAAAGTGTACACCAATATCACATGTAACCTTAGAGACGGTCCCTAAATTTGCAAATATCGAACGTCCAACGTCAAGCCAACTTTATGCCAGTACTAAGCAGACTGTGTTTGTCAATACTTGTGACTTTGACCAATGTGTTTTTGTGTCGCATTGTGTTTCTGTGACCAATTAATGCAGAAAACCAACTAATTACAAAGGTTTCACATATTTTTCTTACCACTGTATTATGTCTGACTTTGTTCACATACACGCAGCACATTCACTTGAAGCGATTATATACTACTGTGTATAGCAAATCTCTACTGCCTCATTTTTTTTTTGTCTCAAAATGTAAATTATCACTCAGTTCTAATGTGCTAAATGTGACTGTAAGGAATGAGGTTAGTAGGATATTATAAACATAAACATTATAATTTTCTGTAAAGCTGCTTTGAAACAATCGGTATTGTGAAAAGCATTATGCACATTCATTTTGAAAACAAAAATTAAAAAAGTTTCATATATATCCTCTATAATATACACTACACAAACCTTTTTGCTTACTAGACTTCCATTATAAGTGTATTTACCCGCATTCCATTTATAAATTAAAGGACTCCGAATTTGTTGGTGGAAACTGACAGCATACCAAACTTGCAGTCCATAGACTTTAGGTTGTAAATAACCTGGTTCGTACCTTTAATTTGTTAGTTTTAACGTGTCCTGCAGAGGGCGACCCAGCACCTTTAATTTGATTATAAGGCAGCGCATTAAGAGCTGTGGAATCCTCTTACCAGAACTGGGTCAAATTTGTCATGAACGCTTTTCATAACACTAGCTTTTATACGGAATTAAGTAAGCAAGCAGACTTTAAATCATATTTAGCCTTTTAATAAAATGTCTATCATATTTCACACACAATCATCCCTGAATCAAATTTAATACAGCTCTCTGAACTCTCATCAAGTCACCTATTACATGGCTGACCCTGCGCTTTGAGATGAATCCGATGGTGTGTGAGATGAGGGTGTGGATGTGAGTTTTGATTCTCTTGTAATGCAGTCACATCTCTATTTAGTTAAGCTTCCCCAGCTTACTCTCAGTTCTTCTTAGCGTTATTCTCACTCTTGATGGGTCTCTCTGGGTGATCTGCTACTTTTCTTCCCAGAATTTTTTTCCTCCACTGGTCCACATTTTCAAAAGTTATCTCTATCTATCTATCTATCTATCTGGATGTCATGCATTTATAATGTATATGGTAAACACACTCTGTTAATTGTGTATACATATATATATATATATATATATA